CTGAAAGCAGCAAGAAACCATCTCTGCCCTCCCCTCAAACCAGCAGGAAAAGCAGCCACGCCGCTTCGGTAACAACGATGTATTCTTCCCAGCCAGCCTCCTTCACCACCGCTTGGCTTGGTACGTCCTCAGCCTGCTTCCTTGTGCATTTTATCCCCCTTCCCATCAGAGAGCAAACAACAGAAACACTAAACAAAGATACACGCACAACTAAACACCTTTTGCTATCACTTCCCAAGAGGTGAAGATCAATTCAATTTAGCCCTGTTCTAGTAGGGTGATGGTATCAAAGGTCTTAAAGAAGCGAGATGTGCCAAGTATTCAAGGAAGGGTCCCCTGGATGTGGGAGTAACCTGGCTATTCAGTCTCGCTCAGGAATACACAAGATATATTTGCCTATGTCCAAGCAGCTGAGAAACTGCAGTATCAAGCATCTCACGCTTCAGTGCCCAAGCAAACCAAGTGCTATGAATGACCATTAACATTTTTTAACAGATCTACATTTGCCCAAAGATAATTTTATATAAGCTCTAACATAATATAAAACAACAAAAAGGCTTTTCTACCAACTTTAAGTGGAAAAAGTTTACAAATGAGCACACAAAGCAAGTCTTCAAATGACTTAACCACCCTGAATACTGGGAATATGCTGGAGGAATCAATTTTGTTTAGCTAGGCTGGGGGGAGGAGTGGGAATTCGCGAGGAAATGCTAAAACAAAACATATGGCACCAAGACTGAAGTCTAAACGCTCAATTTAGTTCTCAAGCAGTTACAGAGTGTAACATTTTTCTTGAATGGGTTTTAAATAGTTAAGCGTATGAAACTGGCTGCAGCTAGCACGTAAGACTCACAGGTAAAAATCAACACCACGCTTCAAAAAAGAAACCTAGAAAGTTATCATCTGACAAGAGCCTCCCAGTCCCGCCTGGTTTTTATGTCCAAAGACATCGATGGTACCTGGTGAGTACTTACAGGCTGCTCTTTTTCAATGGCACTGCTTCTTCAGTACATGAGATAACTACACAAGCACACAAGATGGGTGACCACAGACGTTTTGATAAAGTTTGGGGAAGCGGAAATCTTAATTCTAAGAAGTTCCTCTATACCTGCAAAAGAAAGTTTCTCCCACACAGGCATATAAACACTCACACGTAGAGCGTGGGAAGAACGTAGCTACAAATCTGAATATTCAACTGC